GGCTGCGAGAAGGGACGGCTCCATGCAGGCAGCACCGCGCCGGCCCGAGGAACCACCATGTCATTGCCGGGACCGCTGAGAGCGAGTTTTCCGTCACGTGACATAACTGCTATATTTGTATCGGTTGAGTTTAGTGCTACGAGAACGGTTACAGAAGATATAAAACATCTTAAAAAAAAACAACCCAAACACAAACAAAACCATAATTCGATAGCAGCCCACTGGCGCACTCACAGCAAGTTTCTAGAACAACCTACAAATCTTCAAACACAACAATTTTGCCTTTTTAACATGATTTTTCTAAGGGAGAATTCAGACGAGGTTTGGGTTTGGTGTTTTGGGTTTTTTTTTTTTTGTTACGGCAATGCCAAATTTCACTTGGGAAAGGCCCCACTGCAGACAACCCCTGGGCTGGGAGCTGGCTGCAGGAAGCTTCATCGGCCGTGGGAAGCTTTATCAGCTGCAAACCACCCCACTGCCGCCGTTTTCCACAGGCTGCTGACCTGGCCAGCACACTGCCGGCACAGCCATGCAGGTACTGCTGCGATGCCTGCCACAGCGGCTTTGCCGGCACATTGATATCTGCACAACAGTGTGATGAATTGTGCCAAAAATTAACCCAGTAAGAAGCCGGACCAGGGTCTGGCTGGGTTCTCCAGCATGGGACCAGTGTACACAGCCACAGCAGGCACCGGGGACACAGGTGACTCAGCCCTGTGCCGATGGGACGGCTGGGCCGGTGGCCCTGGCCGGTGACGGTGCTGCACACTGCTGAGCTGATTCAGCCCAGTTCCTCTTTCCCAGCTGCACGTCCGTGTCAGACGGCAAGATGGTTTCTTCCAGCCAAGGCTCAGCTTGCTCCCCGTGAGAAGGAGCAGCCAGCGAAGCCAGCACCAGCCCCATGGCACCCCTGCAACCCCCCCAGGTGTTGTCTGCAGCTGGGGTGGGAGAATCCTCTCAGCCCCGCAGGGAGGGTAACTCTATTTGGTGCAGGAAACAGGCAGAGGACAGGCAGCGGGGTGGGGGATCACAGCCTGCCGGCAAGCCCACCTGTCGGTACCAGAGCCAAGCAGTTCTGGCCATTAACCACCAGCATTTCCCACACACTCCCTGCCCTCCAAAGGGAGGGGGCACATATGGCAGCACCTCCAGGCTGCTCACTGCCACAGCA